CGCTTTTAAAAGTCGATTTTTATCGATTTTATCGATTCGTTGTTGCAGCCCTAGTCTATAGTATAAATTTTTTGTTTTTAAGATGACAGAATATAAAATTGCTTAAGGAGCACGAAAAGTAAGGTAAAACATTGTCACGCTTACTATATCGCTTCTTTATTCAAAACACAAATGCTTTAACGGGTCAAGATATTCAACTGGTCTATCAGGATCTGCCTTATGGTAGTTTTATTCATATCTTTCCAATCAACCGTTGATTTTGACTTTAAATGATACATCCTCTTTCAGCCATCTTTGGATCATGTCACAATGCTACTCATCCATCTCCATTAGCTCAGAATCCATCCCATGATACACACAACTTGTTCAATATATGGTTCTGAATGGACCAGTTTCAACAAAGGAATCCACAGACCTATGGTAAGATCTCCCCTTTAGATCTTGACTAAGTCTGTCAAGCTTTTTGAAAGAAAAACAGCTCTAAACAAATCTTTTTGCAATTGCAAAAACTATTTCAATGTTTTGATTTTACCTTCTCTAAGTCAGTGGTGTTTCAAGACCAGATTCTTTAAATGGTGGGCAGGGTGGGGGCATGTTTTTTTTAATGGGGCCACATAAAAATTATTAAAGACAGAGAAAAAAACAGGGTAAAAGTGCATAATTGTGTCCATCCAGAGAGCGAGAAAGCCCACTTACAGACTTCTGATCTAGTAGATGTAAAATGTGATCCTCTAATAATACAGCTGTAGCTTAAAGTGAAATGCCTTCATTTCTAAATACTTGTTAAAGTTAACTGTAAAGCTAAAATATTAAATTATTTCAATAATTTATTTTCTTTTTAGAGGTTTCAGCACAAAATTGCCCAAATTGCCATGGCAGCGCGTTTTCCTTTGAGCTTCATATTCCTCTTCTACTCGTTTGGCTTCCAGATAGACGAGCCCGAGTAGCGCCATCTAACTGCGGAGCTGAGTCCGACGTGGGTTTTAAACGTACAGTGTGACCAGTAGATCGCATTAAAGTGTTGGGCTGAACATGCATCTTGAGCTGTAGCTGTGTGAAACCATAAAAAAAAAAATTACACAGTATATGCCCGGCTTTATATGAGGTGAAAGCCTGACTGCTAATCACAGCGCAAAAGGCAAGAACTTAATGCAACAACACTTTTCTGTAACCATTACAGTAAGGATTGCGGCTGAAATGTTTAATTGAGGTCCTTTATAAAGTCCTGAAAGAGCTGTTTATAATGTTACAATTCAGCAGCTGGCTGCTGTCAGAGCTCATCTTTTTTAAAAGACGTTTTTGTTTTTCACCCATAGTTATCGGATTTTCAGCTGACTCTGATGTACCGTGCATGTGGCGTATCAGCCTGGCTGGCCAGGCAGCCTAGATATCTAGATGCATTAATCCATACGTGTCTGTATGCCTAAAACAATTCATGTCAAACGGGGACAAATACATGTGACAAACACACAGGGGCCCTATGGGTGCATCCTAATTACAAATAAAACATGGAGAGGATTTTAATAGGAGTTGAAACTCTCAGTTAACCACTACACCAGACACAGCTTTTCTTGAGTCTTTCTTGAGTAAGCTTTTTTTTCCTTCCATGTTCATACTATCACTGCACCCAACACTGAGGATATCTCAAAAGACAAGGCCTGTGATGCCATTTCATGCAACATTAATCTTTTGGCCTGGGCAGAGCCGTGGAGTGTATGTTTGAAAGGAAGGTGGGTTTACTGGGTGGTTGGTTGAGGTTAAACAGCCTGGACACTCTGCTCGCTCTCTGTCAGTATCTCAAGTATGAGCCAGATGATTACACAGCCCTCACCCCTACTCACTCCATTTTCCAGGATGTACTGTAGGATGGAGAGCCCTGTATACTTTGCTGTGGTCATACATGTACAAACAGAGGTGCTTGAGGAGGATGCTCTGATTGAAAAGTCGGTGAGTAATCCCACTCAGGGGGACCCTTTCATCAAACTACTAGACCGTGGGTGGCTGGGCTGTTTATAGATGACCTCCCACTGGAGCTATAGGATGCAATACAGGGAGATATAATATGTATTTCAGGCTCTTTGGGTTAAAAATGAACATTTCCTCTTCATCTTAAAATTTTATATATGTAGTGAATGAGTACATAGGGATAAAAATATTGTCCAATGGTGTGTGTGCTTTCCATTTCATTGCAGCAGCAGCAGCTTTAGCCTGTGGAAACATTGCGTCAACTAGAGCCTTAATGTGACCAAAACCCCTGACACCAACATATTAGCAGCTCACATATCATTATATAATTAGTTAACCTCTAAATGGTCATAGTGTGATGCCTATTAAGACTTTTTCTATCCATCTATGCCATCAATATTCATCTCTGACAATGCCTCAGCCTTACAGCAATTCAGAACCTTTAAAGGACTTATTACAGATGTGTACAGTCGTATTTAGAATCAAACTGACAGGTTTGGTTCAATTAAATCTACAGTCTTATTCAAACATGTCATCCAAAATTTCAACGTCAAGTTTTGGCTGCTGTTATGATCTTACCTCTTGTAGCAGCTTTCCATATAAGTGTTCAATATAGTATTGTATTGTATTGCATTAGTGCCAGTGTTTGGTGCATAGGCAGATAAAATTAATAAACATTTGCTAATGTGAAGGGAAGTTTTTCTCACAGCAACATCCTGTCTTTGAGAACAACATGTCCGAAAGGTGAAGGGAGCTTAACTTTAAACTATCGGCCTAATTTTAAACTAGGATCCCTTAACCCTGTAGTGCCAAATGTATCATATTTGATACATACGGTTTCTGAAATGATTTGCGTCTGACACCTTTTGCATAATTTAATGGTAAAAACTTTGCTCAAAATCCTATTGTACACAATCAGATATACCAGATAACAGAGGGCAGAAGACTACACAAAAACTAATCTTGACTTATCGCATAGTAATAAATTATTAATATCAAAAATGTATTTCTGTTTTTTCTTTTTACATATTTTGTTAAAAGGCCAAATAAGGACTTCAAACCAAAAAAAAAAGTTATTTTCTGTTTTGTTTTATTCTTGGATCGGGCTTTAAATGGTTAATTCATTACCCCAACTATAGATTTGACCCACTGCCACAACAATATGTTTGTTGAATGTTTTTCAGATTATAAAGAGTATATTTTATTTATTTATTTTTTATGGCACTAGTGGCTTGTTTTTTGACAGTAGGCTGACAGGAATGGGGGTATGAGAGAGGGGGAGAGACCTGTGGCAAAGGACAACCGGCCGGATTCTAACCTGGGTCGGCCCATGGACTAAGGCCACCTTAAATGGGTCATGCACACTAACCACTGCGCCATCGAAGCACGCCGAGTAAAAAACCTTTAATGTATTTTTGGTGCACTTGTAAGAAAAACAAGTGATTTCTTAATGGATCAGCAGCTACTTCCACTCTGTGACCTGAGGTCCTCTGGTCAGTTTTATTTTCCGGATGTTAACAAAAGTGTTTAATTGCCCAGACTGTTGGTCAATTGTTTTTAAACAGAGCTGCTTATCCTCTCATTACCTTGATTAACTGAGTGTGTGTGGTCATGCTTGGTAGCCACGCATCATTACTCCCTGCTAAAGGCTAAGCCTTGGTAACAGCTTGTCTACAGCTAAGGCTCCAGATTATGTTGCTTTCTGCATCAGGATATTTAGAGTGAAAGGATGAATTTCTGTTCTCGTGAGAAACTTTAACTGTCTATCAGCACCATAGAGAGCCTAAAAGCTTCTGTTGAACTTATGTGCTTGTTTTAAATAAAGCTTATATGAGGAACCCCCCTCCCTCTCTCTCTCTCTCTCTCTCTCTCAGTATAAATCTACTTGAAGGAAATAATTGTTTAGACAACTGTTAAAGAAAGACTGGAGGCCTGCAGCAGTGGCGCTGAAGAGGCTGTAGACGTATAGCGTGTCCAAATTAGCAAGTGTGTTTGAAAAAGCCAACCAGGCTCTATGATTTTAAAATAACTTTATTTCCATTTACTAAAATGTCCTAAAAACACTACACTAAGCATAAAATTTATCATATTTCTAATCAGTCTGCAGAAAGTGGGAACGTAATGCTGTGAAAAAACAGCTGTTTCTGTATTTTCTGTAAAAAATCTCCAGCATGTACCGTTTCAACTGAAAAACGTTAAAAGATAAAATTTTCAAGTAATTCACCAAACTAATATTTATGTACTAAACCTACATCTTTTTTTTTTTATGAGAATGGCTTCATATGTTTGTTCCTTGGAAAGGACCAAGTTGTGAATCCTTTGATGAGATTTTTACATTACTAAACTATATAACAGAATTACTCTGTATTTAAGCATTTTTGCCTCGTTATTGGGAGGCAGGGGGTTACTGTCATGTTAATAGACTCTTTTTAAGGGCATTTCTTATGATAAACCAACATGACCTTCCGAAATATTAAATAAAATCAAATGGATCCAGAATTTCTGCTATGCAATTAGCATGATTGACACTATAGTGCGAGGACATCCTCATAACATTATGCTTGAGCCACAATCTCTTACAGTGTACTGCAGCCCAAATTCAGTTTCTGAGGGTTGTCTGACAAATCACCTGCTGCCACTGCACAAAATGCCACACTACTGCCCTTTAAAGCCGTAAGAAATGTCTTCTGCAAACTGAAACCTCCACAGCATGTTGGTTTTTTTCAACAGTGAGAAGGATGATGATAATGATGATGAGCAGTGGGGCATTCGGGGGCTTCTTGCTTATAGGGTGACTTCACATCAACATCTTCCCATTGTTACACTGTGCACAGGTAGCTGTAGACCCTCTTTGATCGCCCTGAATCACAGCATTAGCTGATTCTTTGTCATTGTGGTAACTTCAGGGTTTTATTTTCATAAATCATTTTAGACCAAACTAATAGTAAAATATGTTTTTTATATATGACATAAAAGCATATATAAAATATCGGAACATAATATTTTTTCACCTAAAATGGTGATTGTTCACTTCACAGATTTAAAAACAACTTAATGTAGTCATAGCCAACATAAAATCTTGTTTTACTAAAAAAAAAAGTTAAAAGAGAGAATCTTGGAGAGCAGCTGATGTTGACAAACGGCTCCTTTGGCAGCTGGGTCTTATCTGAATACAACACGACAGTGTGACAACGGGACCTGGGACACAAGTCAGTGCTGTCACTCCAATGATAAGCTGGTGAGTGAGAGACGGGCTAATCCATTCCTACAGTCAGAGCTCATGTCACAGCATAGAGTCACAGAGGTTTGGACCTTGACCTGCAAAGTGCCAGACAATTGATAAAAGCCTTGTTTAAACAATATATGCGGAAAAATGTTTACACTAAAATAGAACAAGAGAGAAAGCAGCCATGATTTTTACTTTTGTGGACAAATGGATCTAGTAGGAAAAAAAAAACCCCTCTGGTTTAGGATATGAAAGGATTAAGCGGCAGCATTTTGTGACGCAGGTTCTCTGGTTTTTGGTTTAGCGGCACTGCCGTCTTTACATTAAAGTGAGAAATCCAGCTTTACTTTAGAAAATCCGCATTGACATGTCTGATGCCACTTTAACGTAAAGGTCACAAATGGACATTTATATTTCACAAGCATAGTAGCTATCAGTAAGTTGAATGCCACTGAAATGTGGCTTCTATATTATTTTCCCAAAGTAAGCCATGTGATAAAAATATTTTAAAAAACAGTCTACGGCATTTAAAAATGTAAAATGAGCAAATTCTAGTTATGTAACAGCAGTCTGTCTTTTTCTGTTTGTATGTCTCATAATAATATTACACTATATTGCATACCTAGCTTATTTTTTTAGTTTATCCCCACACATCTAATGGCCACAAAGCAAAACATGCAATCACTGCCCTGTTATGTGCATCGCATGTTTGTTTCAAAGACCTAATCTTCTCCATCTTTTTCCCATTAGTTTGATCTGAGGATAACATGTTGAACTTGTTTAAAGTCCTTCAGAGTGATGATGGAAAAGTGTTTAGTTTTGCTCTTTGTTAAAACCACATCCTGCTCTCAGTTTAAATCCATAACATGCAAGGTAAGGCTAATATCAATGCCATATCTTTCCTATGTGGAGGAGCACTTCCAGTTGAATATAGAAGAAGACATGACCTGCATGCAATGCATGGAAAAACACTTTTATAGCACATTTATGTGGTTGTAAAAACATGATCCCTTTTCGTAGTAGCTCTGTGGAGCCAGGAGACTTTGTCTGGAGGTCATGAGACTTGTCCATTGTAGCTCAACCCCAGCCCCCAATCTCTCCGGTCCTATGGGACAGACTAAATTCCTTTCCTTTGAGATAAGAGGAGAAGCTGGAGCACTTATTTTTGACAGCAATATTTAAGCAACTCAAAGACCTGACAGTAAAAACAGCTGAGGACGATCACAATTGCTCCTCTGACCTTTTGCCTTGTTACAAATCCTGAGTAGTTAGAACACAATATTGTATTAGTCATAAAGACAATGGCATTGTTTAAATTAATTAAATCAATGCTTTTTTTTTACACCTTTAAAATGGTGTCAATACATGTGATGGTTGCTGTAAGACTCCACTTAGAGAATAAGGTGCAGGATGTACCTTATGCAGGTAGAGTTTTATTTCTTTCTAAACGACTGTCTTCATTCTTTCAAAGTCAAACAAACCATTGTTGGCGGAGACATAATGTCATCCCTAGCCTCCCCTCTATAACTACTGCTTCCAGTGAGCTGAACAGGCATTTGTGGACACAGAACAAATTTTGGATGATGTTTGTTTTGCCAGTTTTTTTTTTCCTGAACGGCGATTAGGATTGTATCTTCATGTATCATTGCTGATTCGGTAAGAGGATTAGATGTCAGTTCTGCCAGAGAAGATTTTTCGTCTGAGTCACAGACGAGACCACCATCTGGGGGAGCAAACATGTTACTTCTTTGTTGCCAGGCGGGATTGAGAGCTGAAGTCAGTTAATAGACAGGCCTTTGATGGTACACACAGACACAGATATTTAACCTCCCTCATTCAGAATAGGTTCTTAGATACAAATGATTCAGTCTTCTATACAATGATCTGATCTAAAATAGCTCAGCCTAATTTCTTCTCTCATATTCTACTGTATTACAGTCGAGCCATTCAGCTACACTCGTCGTATTGATGGGGAACCAGCATTTTCTGCACCACAAATCTGTCAGCCTGAAGCAGACGCAAAACAAAGATGTCAAAAATGTGAGTGTGAAAGAGCTGCGGATGGTGGATTTCACAGCTCGGTCTGTCCCTCACAGACAAAACGCACAGATGTGCTCTCAGAACAAGTGTTTAACACAGATCTACATCTCCCCTCATAATAAATTTGATTAAACGTTTGAAATAGGCTTCGCTTTTTTTGTGGAGCACGAGGTATGAAACGTCCTTATGGATGCAATTCCCTAACAGAGGTGAATCCTCACTTCCTAATTGCTTACTAGCACATTATGCCAGGTTTGGGGGGAAAAGCAATTTCCAAAAGTGAGCTGTCAAACAATGGTGGTGAGATTTGAGCTATTAATCAACGGGCTCATCTCATTATCATTAGTGAGAAACGCTGACGGCCCATGTTTGTAAATCTACAGCTTGGCCGTTTCTCTCCAGAGAAATCATAAGGGAAAAAAATGCAATAATCAGGTGGGAATGTAAGCATTTCTTTATACTAATCATCTTCAGCATTAGAGCAAATGTCAAGCCGATTCCCTGCAGCAACTTGAAAAAGTAATGATACAGGGTTTTTACAAGATTTTAAAGGTCAAGGTTGGAGTCTTTATCAGTTCTTCAGAAATGTGACCTCTTTTTCAACTACAGACCAAGATTTTTACAAACAAATTAGGAAACTAAAAATAGAAGGTATAAAGAACACAAGCTGCAAGTGGATGGATGGATGGATGGATGGATGGATGGATGGATGGATGGATTGATGGATGGATGGATGGATGGCTGGCTGGCTGGATGGATGCATGGATGGA